GGCTGTGTGGTGCACCAGTGTCATCACTGTGAGGCAAGGAGCTGCCCCATGCACCCCACACTGACTTACCTCAGGGCCCTGCAGCCAAGCCATCCACATTCCGGCACCTGTCTTGCCTTAAGGTGGTGGCTCCAGCAGCCTTGTCCAGTAGGACCCCACATGGCTGTTAGCCCACTTCTGCTTGCTTGTGGCTGTGACGGAGCAGGCAAGCTGAGAAACGGTGGGACAGAGTGAGCAGGCAGGTGCTGGAGGCTCGTCTTCATGTCTCTTGGTTTTCCCATGAGCCATGCAGCATATCTGGATCCCCTGCCTTTCCCCCACCTCTGCCTTCAACTGCTGCCAGTGCCACCATGCGAAGACTATCCTCCTGCAGTTGGTTACCTGCTCCAGCCCACAATTCTCAGCTTTCCTGCGTCCTGCGTGGGGTGTCTGGATTGCCCCTGCCTCTGCCTGCTGCTTGGACAGGGAATCAACTCACATGTGCTGTGCAGGCTCCGGCTGCTCCAGACATTGTTGGTCCCTGCCCCCTTGCTTCCTTCGGTGCTGACCAGGCCCCTTCACTGATGATAACCTTAATCAGGGCTTATTTTTGGATAGGACTTATTTTAGGAGTACATGCAAAATCAGTCTAGGGCTTATTTTTTGGGTAGGGCTTATTTTAGGGGAAACATTAGTGAGTGGCCTTACTGATTATGGCACCCCTTTTGTGAATAGGCAGATCTCAACAATAGCCTTTTTGTGTGTTGTGTTCCTCATATGCTCTCAAAATTTCAAAGGTGCCTACCTCTGGTTTAAATTATGCCCATATTACTACTCCCATAGTTATGTTGTACCACAATCTCAAAGACAGAAATTGTAAAGCTATTCACTGAACATTAGAAAGCAATTCCTGTGTAGTTTAACCAGTCTAAACCCATGATTTCATTTGTTCTCCTTTAGAAAGGATTTCGTGGAATGATTACTCCAATTCATGGAAACTCTTATCTGTTTGTAAATATTATCTAGCAAATAGGTAAGAAAATTATTTTTCTAAAAGCTGTATCTAACTTTTCCATTGTGTTAGGTGCAACACATTAACAGGAGCTGACAGCTTCCAGATGCAATTGCCATACAGCATTTATTTGTTAAAAAAATAACTTTCACCTCTTGCAATATATTATGGGTATTCCCCTCTCACTTTATTTCCAGAAATCATTATGACAGTGAAAAATGGATGGTGAAATGTTTATTTTATTTTTTGATGTTGCTTCAATTGTTTCAAATATGATACAAAATTTCACACCATGAAAAGTTCCATCCCAAAGCTTTACACCCATTTCACATCCTCAGATTCCCATTCCTAAATGCATTGGGTTAAATTTGGCAAAAGCCTTTCCTTTCAGTGGCAGATCCTCATTTTCCCACGAGATACACTCTCAGTGGAATCAAATATATGCAGGCAACTGTTTGCATGGAAAGAAAATCAGGTGTGCTAATGGGATGCAGATAGTTTCTCAAATTCTTAAGACTGGGTTTAATACATTGCCCTCAGCCACAGTTTAGAAACACAGTGCCTGTGTTCACACAGCATGCTAGACCAACATTATGATTCAACCATGCAGGAATTGGCTGCCTTGCAAGATACATGTTAAAAGAGTTTTAAAATCCAGCCTTTATTACTTCATAGGTAACTCAAGGTGGCACAATAACACAGCACAACTTTCCCTTCCTTTCTTCTCCACAACAAGAGGTGGGTTAGGCTGAGAGTGACTTGCCAGAAGCCACCTAGCTGGCTTTCATGCCTAAGGTGGGACAGTCTCCTGGTTTATAGCTCGAAGCCTTCACTACTAGACCAGACAGGTTATTTTATGATCACACATTATGGCCACTTCCCTTCTTTTCCTACCCTTCTCTTAAGCCAGCCAGTTATTCTCATTGAGGTTTAACTTAGAGTCACATGATAAGCCAGATCCATATTCATTCTCAAAGCAGCCTGTCTCCATAACTTAGCATAAATTCCATCTCTTTTTTTCTGCTGCAATACTAGCCAGCAATATCACCACATTCCCATCCGTTTGTGTGAAATGCTTTAAATTTTGCAGAATCAGGTTATTCATTCTGCACACTGGGGGATATTAATCTAGGAGTCATTTGCTCAAATATAGGGATGATTATTTCTAAGGATACAATTTGCATAGCAATATATTGCACAAAGCTGGTGTAACATATGTGTTTATGGTTTGACTGTCAGTTTCTTTCTTTCCTAAACAGAGGATGCTCTCCTTGTTAGGAGATATGAGAGACACACATTCACAAGGTGAAAAAAGCTTATTTCTACGCTGGAGGATTATTGTGTGAAGCTTAGCTTTTCTATAGCAACTTTCTAGAGAAACCTGTTTCAGTGCAGATCAAACTATTTGTCCTATTCTGTAGGAGCAACTGGATTTTACCACTATAGAGTCTTTTTAAAATCATTTTTATTGAGATGCAAATAAAAATTGTTTCTTGCTGGTTTTATGGCTGCTCATGTTATTATTTGATTCAGGAAATTACAACAACTTTATACGGTGGACTATTGATAATCTGTTTGAAGATTAAAGTGTAAAATTATCCCAGGATTTAATACCATCTGAAATAACAGCCGTGCATATTAATTTCATCCTTTTTAATAAATAAGTAGTATCAAGTACATGACTACTTGGATTCCAGTGAACTCATTGAAAGTACTTCTACAGCATTTATATAAACTAATAATTAAGTATCTAAATGAGCAAATTAACAACTGTTTATTCCATAATCCATTCCATTATTACTGAAATCCTTGATGGATGACAAATACCTTTCTTTCATGTGCAAAAAATTCAGGTAGCTTTTTGTGTGTGAAGACAACAGTGGAATCAAGAAATTCTGAAAAAAATGATTAGTACACTATTACATTGCCAAGAGGATTAACAACTTTCAGATGAAGCTTGACTCAGAGCACTCCATCCACTTGTACCCAGGACTCAGCATTACTTTTGAGAATTTTTGTGTTATTCTGTTTCTGATAAGATGCCATTCACAGGGATGACAACCTGATATACCACCCATAAAATCCCATTTAAGTCCTCTGAATAGCTACTTCTTTGCTAAGCCAAGCCATAGGAAATTGGCAGATATGGTGGTATGTGAAGTAAGATAGGAAGATGTTTTTAAAAAAATCTAAGCATCTACATGCTCACTTGAGTAACATTAAGGCCTGCTGAACTGTAATATTTTTCTGAAAAAAGATGCACAGAATAGTTCTGCTGTCTTAAAAGTATCCATTAGATGGTGATAGGTAAACTATAGTTGAATTTAACATTCTATAAGAATTCCAGCTGTTTATTCAAGACCATGGATAAGCTACCTATTTTCCATTGGGTTGGATTACAGCTCCCATAGTCCTCAGGCATAGTGGAGGGCCCTGTGTTGGGGAAGGCTGGACTATGGGACATGAGTAAGAAGGCAAGCAACATCTCTACCAAAGCCTTTGCTTAGAAATAAGCCCTTCGGGGAGTTGCCCAAGATCTCCGCGACGGCATCAGAACTGCCAGACCTGGAATTCCTCGTGCAAAGAGATGCCACTTGCACAAATGACAAGGACTCCGAATCAGCCGTGAAGGGTGACTTATATCAAAGCAGGAAACCCACAATTTCAGGGTTTTTGTTCATCTGTCGCACATGATGATTCAGGAAACCCAATCTAATTTCTTCCTGCAGTTTGTGGTACCTTTGTTTGCTCACCTTTAAAATGCAATTGGTTTCTTTGTTTCCTGCGAATTTGGAAAAAGGCAATACTTTTCTTCACAAAAGCAAAGAGAAAGAGAGAGAGGGAGGGAGGGAGGGAGGGAGGAGAGGGGGAGAGAAGAGAGGCAGAGGCAGGAGGGAGGGAGAAGGACAGAGAGAGACACAGGGAGGGGAGAGAGAAAGAGAGGGAGAGAGAGAGACAGAGGAAGGGAAAGGGGGAGAGGAACAGAGGGAGGGAGGAGAGAGAGAGAGACAGTGAGGGAGGGAGATTCCAAATTGCCGGAAATTGGATATTGTGACAAATCAAGCTGCTCAGATAATCTAAAACATTGCTCCAAGTGTCGTCATTAATCAAATCGATTCGAAGATATCTAACGTCTTCAAATCACCCACTTGGCAGCAGCGGCTCCTCACAGCCTTCGTGCAGACATTCGGCATTAAAAGGAGGAGGAAAAAAACCACTACCAGAAGTGGGGTTCGAACCCACGCAGACTCACGTCTATTGGAACTTAAGTCCAACGCCTTAACCACTCGGCCATTGTGGTAACTCCGAAAAAGAATTGGGAAGGCTTGGGAACAAACTGACAATTCCCACCGAGCCGACCGAGCAGCAGCCGCAACTCCCTCCGCCCAAAGCTCGGCTTCCTAAGCCCCTCTGACGCGCGCGACTTGCGCTGCTCCGATGTTGCTTTAGGCGAAGACTTCACCTGCGGGCAAATTGGCCCCGCCTAAAATGAGGAGCCAATCCCGTCGCACCTGGAAGCGTCAGCCAATACGCTCTGCGCTTCCCGAGCGGGTCTCCCCTTTCTCGGGAACGAAGCAGACACCCTCTCGGGGCGGAGAGTCTTAGTTGCAGCGACTTTAGAGGGTGGGGAGCCTCGGTGGGGATTCCTCTCCCGAAGGGGCCCTCCAGCTCCTTTTCCCTCCCGGACTAGGGGGACGGACGGACGGACGGACGAACAGACGATGGATGGATGGACAGANATATTTTTGCCCACCAGAAAAATGTGGCATGGCCTTATTATCAGGACATGTTGTAATTTCGGGGAAACATGGTAACTATTGGGTATGGACAGGAAAGACTTTAATTCTTATCCTTTCTTGCTACTTGCTATTCTTTCCATGCATGTATTTTATGGGCCCTTAAAGTCTGCATATATTCTAAATATCTCCAAGAAATACATAGCACAGATTAATGCTCCCTGAATGCTACACTTAATGACAAATATTCAGTATAGAGGCTCCATCTTTCTCACATGTTTATGTCTAGTTAGGAAAAAGCTGGAAATACCAGACTTTGTACTAATATGATTATTAGGTGTTAATAGTTATATTAATTGCCTATGCCTTCCTAAAATAGCAGGCCACAAAAGTGACCAGGACTCACCAAGTGGCATGATTGAGAGGTATTTGCCACGGAACTTGCTGGTGATTTTAATCTCCTGCCGAAGGGTCCAACCATGTCTGGAATCAGCATGATGAGCAGCAGCTGGAGGATGGTGGCTCACCTAGCAGATATGACAAATAGACAAAAAGGGCATATTCAATCCTAGAATGAAGGGTTAAGGGATATGCACCAGAAGAAGAGACGAAAAGAGATTCCAGCAATGGCTTTATTAAGTTACGAGGAATTTTCATATGAAAGTAAACTCCACTGGTGATATAGACAGACAGGCAGACAGAATTTACCATATTAATTAAGTCACTCCGATCAGCTATAATTCTGGGCAATGAATAACACAGCTAGAATACACAGTTAAGTTAACACAAAGTTCAACCAAATAAAAATAAACTATATAAGAAGCACTAAGACAGAGTCCATGTGTCTGCTGGAATAACATGGCTTTAACCTGCCTCCCAAATACAAAGAGGGAGGAGGCCATCCTCAAAGCCTTGGGTAAGATCAACCAAAGAGTAGGAACCACCATTGAGAAGGCCTATCATCCCCATACTATAAACACTGAAAATGCCAGAATTGTCATGGGATCAAGGAACAGAAAAGGAACATGCTCTTGCTTTTTACCTGTTCGCAGATGGAACGATAGCCATTTTCTTCTAATCGGTCTAGCTCAAACGTTTCTCCTAAGAGAGGGTTGAATGGCTTGCTAGTGCGGAAGACAGTCGTGGAGTAGGACGATACAGTAAAAGCTGCCACATAGCAGAGCTGCTCCAAGGAGTTCTCACATTTGGCAGCCCGGTCCAACAAATCGTGGTATTCCAAGTCTTCTGTGAGACGCTGCAGCATGGATAATGGCTCGTTGAAATTAACCTGGAAGCAGAAGAAATAGGTGCTAAGCAGGAAATCCTTTCTAGGGATGAAGTATCTGATTCAAAGCTAGTTGTATCTACCATGCCCCAATTTGTACCAAAATCCAAATCAAACTGTCTGTTGCAGAATGAAGTTTGCACAATTATCCTCCTTGGAATTACTTGGCTTTCTACCCTTTTCCACACAGCATGGGGTTTTACTCAAAAACCAGATTAAAGCCACTCACCGGCATGGGGATCTTGGAGAGTTCCTTGCCAATGCAATTCTTCATGATGCTCCATAAATTTAGGCTGTAATTTGGTTTGTGTGGAATCCGAGTTCTCTTCTCCTTCTTAGTATCTTCTCCCTGATGTTTGTACTTTGGGAGAAAAAGAAGACTATTGTAGTTATAGTCTTATAGGGAATGGATAACATGCATATCAATTCCTGAGCAAATTCCTACAATTTCCACTTCACTTTGCTGAAAGTTTAGAAGTACACTTACTCTGATGTCAAACACTCACATCTAATATATCAAAATGAAGACATCTATCCCAAAAAATGCTGCCTCTGAAGCAGTAAAATCTGCATTCCAAATAGCAAAAATATGGGGTGAGTTAAGATGTGGTCAAGATTATACTTTTTTCCCCTTGTCTTCAATAAGCTGTATCTCAAGTTATGGCTTAAATTCTTTCAAACTTACGCTAGAATGAGTAATCTAGATCAGAGACAAGCAATATGACATCTCAAGATACTTTGGATTATAATTCCTGTAAATTTTGCCACTAATCATAATTTAGATTTATGGGATTTGACAGTCAAAATACTTGGAAGCTGTTAAAGTTCCTTAGCCCTGATCTAGACCTTAAACCACAGTTAAATTTTGATCACCCAATAGAATCTAATAAAAAGCCATGTCCCTTTCCCTCCTCTCAAATAAAAAAAAAATCAAACTACCTGCTCATCAAGACTGATGTCACTGCTGGCGCCACTGATGTTGCTGCCTGTTCGTCTAAAGGAGTTAGAAAGACAAACCATAAGAAAGAAGGAATTTTGGATGCTCCACCTGAGATGTTTTCCTGCCCCCCCCCAAAAAAAAACTGTTCAAAAAGCAACTGGCAGAGCTACATTATGCTACTTATTTTGCCAGGGTTGGAAACCATTAAGAACTCTGTCAAATATGAAACATTCATGATTCTTGTTGGCTACTAGGGCTAAAAATGTTTTAAAGTCAAAAGGGAACAAAAAAGCACTATACAACTATACAATTGCAGATAACTATTTTGATTTAGCAATGTTATTTAGGAATTTGTTAAATCTTCCAAGTTTTACTTCCCACCAATTATTTATCATCTAAAATACTATATCAGCATTTATAACAAAAATGAAGAAATAGTAATAAAGCAAATTGAATGCAATTCAGAAATGTGTATCAGCTCATACAAAATGAATCAGCAAAAGTCACAAACACCTAAAACATTAATATTGGCATTTGAACATTTAATTCTTGCTGTGGACAGAACTGAAACATTACATAATTTAAGATAATAAGAGCCTGGGAGAATTTAAATGTCTTTACCTGTAGCAAAAAACATAGCAAGCTTCTTGGGGAAAAAGAACATTCCACAACTGGGTGGCCTCATCTGCGATTACTCTCTTGCAGAGTTACATCCTGAGCTTCTTACTGAAGGAAGACTCATTGAGAGGCCTCCACTGACATAATACACTAAACACTAGTTGTCTAATCCAAGGAATGCTGTAGATTGGTAACAGGCCTGAACAACTGAGTGATGATGATGCAATTGTGTAAAAGCTACTGATCACGACTTGTCTGGGTGGAGAAACCATCTACTAAAGCTGTTTATGAATTGAGTTTCAATTGATTATCTTGCCATCATTAGTGATTGGTTCCCATACCTAATATGTATCTTCCCATCTCTGGATTATCTATTCTGTTATTTCACATAGATGGTGATCTACATGACAAGCAAATCAGAATTCTATGGGGCATCACAGAGCTGAGAGACAAGTGCTTCAGCACCATCTTTTAATCATAGTCACCAGGGAAGTGTGGGGTCACTGCAATGCTATACAGATAGTCTTTACTTGATGGCCACTTGTTAAGAGACTTTTCTAAGTTATGAAAGCACTGAACAAAGAAACAATTTTATTGCGGCCATCACAGCATTCCTGCAGTCATTTGATTACAATGTGGGCTGTCAACTAGCTCACAATTAGAACTGTGGCATCCTGCAGTCATGTGATTGCCATTTGTAACTTTCACTGCTTGCTTCCAAAAAGCAAAGTCAGTGGGGAAGTCTGCAGGAGACACTAAATGGTGATCACATAACATCCCAGTTTAATGGCTGCATGGGATTCCCTTAATAGAGGCAACTGGAACTGTCTCAAACTGCTGTCGTAAGTTGATGTGGTCACATCTCATCATGCTTTATGACTGTGTCGCTTAACAATGGAATTGCTGGTTTCACGTGTTGTTGTTAAGCAAGGATTACCTGTACAATCTCTGTTCCCCCAATCAATCAGACTCTAAAGTCAATGGTTTTAAAGTCTCTTGAGATTATACAATGAAGCAAGTGGATCACACATGCTCTCTCTCTCTTACCCAACAATGGTCTTCTTACAAGGAAACCATGGTGATTTTTTGCAACAGAATCAGATAAAAAACTTGAATGAAAACCAGATCCACTCCAGAATGTCAGGAATTGAGTGCCTCAAGTGTTTTAGCACAATAACGTATGTAAGGTCAGTGCTTGTCAGTTGTTTTATACGCTCTCCCACTTAGATTTGCAACCACAAGAATTGGTGGGAGACAAATAGCAGTTTCTTTGAACTTTAGGTATCTTCCCCTCCAGGTTTCCAGACAAGAGAAACTAATGTGCTTTGGGCAAAAAAGAGAGCAAGAAGAAAGATAAGGGAAGGAACCATAATTCTGCAGCTAAGTGTATTCAACAAGTTTCAAGAATGTCTATCTGAATAACTTCCACATGCTTTCAGTTTGAAATTCAGGCTTAGTGTTTAGTAGCAGAAACATCTTTTGGTCACTGCAGATAATCACCAATATTGGCAGAAAGATTGGGAAAATATAATTCTATTCATTTTTAAAAGAATTTTAGAGGTGTTCTCTAAAAGTCTTAGGGACATTCCCTAAAAGACATTATAACTGATAAGGTTTACCTTTCTTAATTTTTGGATAGGTTTTTTCCCACCCACAATTCAATCCAGTGCTCATATTACTTAACATTTATCTGAACTAACTGCATTTGGAATGATCTACAGTTACTGAAATGAATAACATCTGTTTTCTAAGCACATTAAGCTCAATTTTTTGTTTTCATTTCGCCCAGATAGACAGAAATTTCCCTGTGTCTGAAATTTTATTTTATTTATTATTAAATTTATTTGCCACTGATCTTCTATCCAAGCCAAGGTGGCGCAGTGGTTAAANATTGTTTGGGAATGGCCTTATAACCCTTCCCAGAACAATGACAGCAACAATTCTTTCTCTTAAGATCATTGCTGACGTCTTTTCTCTTTGGCATTCTGATAACACACACCTCAGCGCTGGAGACCAGCAAACTCCTAAAACTTCAGCTTTTATAAAGATAATCACACTTGCTGGTGATCAGTTGATCTAAGGGCACTTAATTAACAGCACTTGGCTATGGAAGCAGTAAATATGTACTTAGTTTTTCCACACGACTTCATTTTGGCTTTCTTTTTGTAAAATAAATGATGACAATGGTGTTATATGTCATGTGTTATTGTTCATCTGAGGTTGTAGTTACATACTTTTAAGAACTGCTAAGGACCAGTTGATGATTTTTATTATGTCCTGATATATAATACCATAGAACTCAAAGAGGATGTACAGGTAACATTTCTTCTTACTCAGACAAAACAAGTGAATGAAACCATTCCACCTGCCTATATAACTGATTTTAAACAGGCCTAATCACCCAATTGTTTTCAGGGTAAACGTAGTTAAACTCCCAATTCTTCTTAATCTTGGGTAATATATTTGTCTAATTACTTCCATTGACTCTTGATGAAAAGCAACACCTAGAGGTATCATTAGAGAAAGTTAGAGAAACTAGGTTCCTTCTTTTAGGTCCCTCCAAATGTTTCCCCCCACCAGGTGTTGATAAATAAAAGTTCACAGAATCTGTCTGTTTATCTGCCATAAGTAAAGATTTTTACACGTGAGATATTCCCCCTAGAGGCAGGCAGAAAAGGAGCAAGAGTCAATACATTTGTATGATACTGCCAGTCATTTCTCATTAAGAATTTATACCTTAAAATAGGTAAAAACTATATTGCTAAATTGATAGCTTTGGCAAAACATTAACCTTTCTTTTCTTCTGTTTTTCCCTTCCCTTGTTCATTGGTTGGACCCGGTCAATAGGAGAAAGTATTCACTGTCCAAATTTCAAAGGATCCCCCTAAAATGGCCTTGCCAGCCATTTCAAGATGCATAATCTGAATGCAAAAGGAAACCCTAATTATAACGAGTCCCATCCCCCCCCCAGTCTGAAGAACTAATGTAAACTGGAAAAATAAGGAAAGGCAAAGGATATGATGTATGTTATTTTCAACACAGAACTCACCTGACGAAATTTAAAAGGGTTAGGTGTGAGACCAAACCACCTCAAGTGTTGATACTTTACAGAAAGGCACAAATGAACCTTTGTGGATATTTCAGGTTTTATTATTTAATTTAGGGGTTTTTTTGGGAAAAAAAAGACAATAATCCCCCTCCCCTCAAAAACAAACCCAACCACAATAGAATTGCAAAGATAGTCTCTCTCCTGCTTTTTTTTTTAATAAAAAGCCCACCATTACCCCACTAAGGGAGGCCCTGGCCTTCGCCTGCTGCAGAAAAAAAGGCTTCCAATAGGGACCAAGCCACAGTGTACACACTGCATCCAAGACCCAATTTACTTCTGCTGAGCAGCATACTTGTTGGGTTGCCTCATTTCTCCCAACCAGCGAGCACCACTGTTGCCTCTTCTTCCTTATGGGCTAAAGTTGAAAAGTAGGGAGGGGAGGGGTTGTTTAAAACAAAACAAAACAAAACAAGGAGCGAAAACACAAAAGGAAGGCACCTCAAAGTGTGATCTTTAGCCAAGGGCAGGGCTGTCTTTGCCCCCGCCCCCATCCCCACCCACATGTACACCTCACCTGGGTAGGCTCTTTACGCTTTGCCACTTCTGCTCAGTGACAACAGCTTTTCACTCTTAGGATCTGGTTATGGCAGCTGTGACCAAACGGCCCAGACCAGTTTGGGCTGTTCCCAGTCTCCTCATTTTACAAAAGAATCAATGAATTCCTGGCTTGAACTGACAGAGAGTCGGGAGCTTTAGGAGTGACGCCACTAAGCTCCAACTCTGCCTATGTTGAATTATCCGTTATTTTAAAGGCAAGACAATCTGTTCTTAGGTAATGGTTCCTGTATGGCATTTTCATGGATCTGGGGCCCAGTGGAAGAAAGCAGCAGAGGCTAGTGTTACCAAATAGGGGCCTAAGGAATAAAAGGAACAGAAATCAGAACAAAAATTAGATCTCTCTCTACATATATATAATATACATATAAACAGTTGTGCATTAAGCCAGAAGTTGCTTTAGAACAGGGAGGCTTCTATCTTGCATCATTGCCCATCCAAGTGCACAATTTGGGAGAAGGTGCTTGGGCCTGGTGTGGAGAGTAGACCTGAAAAGGGAAAACTGCATCTTTGATTTTGCAACACCAAGTGATCAGCTAGTGATCCTCAAAGGAAAGTTGAACTCTTTGAAGATACAGCTAATCGCTTTCCTATCTATGTGAACTGAGAGACACAACAGCTTTGGTTTCCATCTTTTCCCTCTATTCAATATGGTTAGGAAATCTTCCTTGTCCTAAGGATGCTATACAGGGTTAGGGGAGAAAAAACAAGAAGCAAACCCCTCTGGTCAAAATGATAGGTCTTCCTGTTCCTTTCCAACCACCTCTGGGCAAACAAAGAGTCTTGGTCTTGCTGCTTGCCTTTGCCTTATGAAAGTTGAAAAGGGGTATAATTGATACAGCACCAGAAATCTGGAGAAGAGGGCAGGTGTCAATCCAGACGTTCTCTTCTTCCTCCCCAAACTACCTGTGTAAGTGGTGTGAGCAGGGAAGTGGAAGATGCAGTCCTCTATGCCTATTTTTCCCTAACCATCCAGGAATCCACACACCAACTTCAGCTTCGTTCAGCTAAGGCAATCCAGCCAATCACCACTGCTGGATTCTGGTTTGGGTGATTGAGTCAAAACAATTGATTAAGACAGACAAGTCAGTGAGAAAAGCACGAGCCAAGAAGTCCCATGATCAGCTGCTTCCCTCCACTCTTCGTCCACTACCTCTTCCTGGGAAGAGACCTGCTGCTTCCAGCTCAGAAGATATCAGGGCACACGTTCCAGTCCTGTTTCTCTTTGCTTTCCCAGTAGCCTCCCCTGTACACATGAGACACCTCCTTGGTGTCAGGATCCTTCTTCCGCTCAAACCACAATGCCTTGTAGGGATCGTACGGGGTTCCTGCGCAAGGGAGGCAGCAGATGAGAAGGGTGAGAATTTTCAGACTGATGAAAAACGGTGTTAGACAGGCTATTTCTCCTGGGAACACTAAAACTTCCTTCTTAGGGAATGGCTACTGTTTAAAGGTAATCATCATACCTCCATACAAACAGCATCTTAGCTAGCAGGACTAGAAAAGACTTTGGCCCAATATGTGGCGGAAGCACTACTAATGGGGAGCACAGAACAGCAGATCAGGCGAACCATTGCCCAGCTGTAAAAATATAAGGCAGCTTCTTAAATTCTTAAACGCTCCCTAAATGGAAGAGGCCAATGGGACACTTCTTACCATCCTCTGTCGCCCTCATGGCTTCAGCTTCACGTTTTTTACGGGAAAGGCGCTGCTTCTCCTCTAAGCGCTGCTTCTCTGCATTGGCCTCATCCCAGCGCCCATTCTCCATGAGTCTTTGGTCAGGCCGAAGTCTGCTGTCAGTGGGAGCAGTACCACTTTCTGGGGCATTGAGTGTCAAAGCCAACTCTGAGAAATAATACATGTTCTCTGCATTCTTCCTGTATCAAAAAAGGAGAAAAATAATAGAAGTGGCAGCAAAGCTCATGGGTAAGGCAATGACACATATTCATTTTCTCTCTCCAACCCTTTGGTCTTTCACATGAATGCTGTTTTATTGTGTTTTATTGTCAGAAGTAACAACTGTTGATCCTGGGAAATTAGATGCATCAGTGGCCTATTGCTACTAACAGAAGGGAAACAGTGATCTGTTGATCACCCATCAAGTGAGCAATGAGAAAAGTTTTTTTTAAAAAGCCTCTCAGATGTCTTTTAATTGCTTAATGCTTAATGAATCAGACCATTTTCACCTGGATGTCAAGATCTATAAATATGCCTACCCATAACTGACACTTGAAATGTTATTTCCATTTGAAATAAAAGTAGCTGTTATGGTACATTCAATTAAAAGGTTGATGAATGAGCTTTAAAGTCTAGGGGTGGGGAAGATTTTTCAGTGCTCTCCATTCTCTGACTTACACCACTGCTAGAAAACACCCCTCTCCACAAACTTCATAATACATCAGTTATTTTAATGGTTTNAAAATTCACTTAACACATTTCGCACTTAGCGATATAAATTTTGGGCTCAATTGTGGCCTTAGGTGGAGGGCTACCTGCATTGCCTTTCTCTCTCACACACAAAGGTATTTAAGGAAGATGGGGAACCTGCTTTATGCACTGCATTTTGTTCACAGGGTTCTGGTTGCTCGCTATGACGAGGGTCAGGGGATAAGGGAAATACTTCCATGGATCTGGCAAAAAGCCAAAGGCTGAAGGGCTGGAACAGGAGATCACTCACTTGTGTCCCATGCTTTCGGGCATGGTGATGATCTCGGGAGCATCGAAGAACTCATTATCATCATCTTCATCGCTCATATCACCCTTTGATGAGCAACACTGATCTGTAGAAAATTACATATCAACATCATTTTTTATGAATTTAATTATCTGGGATTCTAGAACTTCAGCGGAAGATAAATGACAAGAGACGGGTTGGAAGAAGAGTTTGGCTTTTACCTTTCGAGGAATCCATGTTGCCAGGTGCATTGGCGGGTAGGACTGTAGCTCCACGGAAAGCTCTTTCCAGGTGATTGTGTTGCTTAGCCAGCTGTTCTAGGGTCTCCTCCAACCGGATACGCTGGTCACGCTCATACTGTAGAGATTTCTGCCATTTCTTGCTGTGTGTCTGGGCCAGCATTAGGAAGTCTCGACAAGCCTGAATGGAAGAAGATATGGTTAAAATCATTATGCTGCTTTCAATATCATCTTCCTAAGGAAATCTTGCCATGCTATTCTGGCATTAATTCCTTTTTACACTAATCTGCCTCCTCTAAAGGATGTTTACCTGAAAGAAGTCATTTTTTCTGCTTCATAATAGAGCCATCCCAGGTTAAACTATACTAGATTGCCTGTTATTACTACACTGCCAACAATGACCTCTTGTTAGGACAACACTAACTATATGAGAGCTTACTTCTGTCCATTAGAATTTATTGGACCCAATAGGTATTCAATAAATTCCCAAAGAATTCCAAAAATACTTGAACAGTTACACTCAAATAGGCACAGCTAGAATCATTTGGAAAATATTTCATATGGCTGAATGAAAATATTTCATATTGCTCCAAGATCATAAATCACAAGATCATGAAGACTAACATTGACAGAAAAGGACAGACATATAAAGAGTAAGGAGAACCCGCCAGATAATATGTTACATTCAAAAACTTGAACAGACAATTTTTATCATGCAAATTAGAAAAGTATTTTAATTTTAGTACTCCTGAATGTGAAATACCTAGATTTTAAAAAGTTTCTTTAAAAAACAGTGGAGCATTTATCTATTTGAAAAAAAGTATTCTGGATATTTGAGAACGGAGTTGCCAATGTATACAATTTAAAATATTCAGAGTCTATAATAAAGTTGTATACAGTTATGCTTGGTATGGAGAAAAAGGATAGAAACGGTATTTCTCACACATCCATGATACTAAAATCATGTGATGAAATTGAATCATGAGTAATTCAAGACAGATAAAAGCATTTCTTCATACAATATAAATTTAAACAATGAAATTCACTACCATAAAAACTAGTGATGACAAATAAAGTAGATTTAAAACAGAATTAGACAAAGCCAGAGAACTTGGTTCTTAAAAGGTTGATATATGCTACTACCTTCATGACAGGAGCATCAAAGCACTTCTGGGTTGAAAGGACTGAATGGTGACACCACTATGACTTGGAAGATGCCCAGTTGGGGGCTCTTTTCATATCCCCGTTAAGTTGCCCACCAAAGTGGTACCCATCTATCCATTTGTGGCCTGCTTTCAAACTGCTAGGTTGAGAGGAGCTGGAGCATTGATTGGAGCTCAGCTAGTCCTGCAGCAGCAATTGGGTCTTGAACATGACCCTGCTGAACATCAGCCCAGCGCCCTAACCTCATAAGCCACCATGCTCCTTTTAGGTTGATGTATGATAGCTATACATTACCTAGACTAGTTTAATCTAGTAGTTAAGGCACTAAACTAGAAACTGGGAGATTGTGAGTTTTAATCCCACCATAGAAATTAAATTCAGATTCTGGGACAATCGTTCTCTCTCAGCTCAACACATTTCTCAGGGTGGTTGTTGTTGTAGGGAAAATAGGAAGGAGGCATATTAGGTATGTTTGCTTCCCCTTGAGTTATTTATAAAAACAATAAAGGCGGGATATAGACAAACAAACAAATAATGAGGCAGTAAGCTTCATCATTCCAGGTGGAGCGGAAGGATGGGGGTGAGGAAATTAAGATCTACTGAGCTCATGTCTTGCTTGCAGGCTTCTCACAGAAATCTGACTACTACAGCAACAGGACTCTGGATGAGTGACCCAGCAGCACTCATGTTTAAAAATCCCAATACAAGCATGTATGGATGCCTTATTAATTTTTGTGAAAAGAAAAATATAGCTTCCAAGATATATTGCTCTAAACACATACCAGGACCCTTCTCACCTTTTTATCTTCACATTTTGAATCCACTTTGAGATTTTTCTGCATCTCTGAGGCCAACTACAACATTCCTAAAGGGCTATTTTTCATTTTGATGCATAAAACCGTTTTGAAGTGAAAACACACATTGTAAGAATATTGTGATGTCACTCTTTCTTCAAAGATCAGAATTCCAGTCCAACACACTTGGTAGCCACAGGCAACAAGGAATTCCAAATGGGCTATGAATAGCCTTTCAGAAGTGATATGCATATCACTCAGTCCATCTGCCTAGAAGATGAGGGTAGGGGAAGCCTCTGATCTCCGCAATGAAATCACAGGCCCACAGGCCGATTACAACTAATTATGTGCCATCAAGTTGTTGTCAGCTCTTTAACAATTTTTTCCATACTGACCTATCCCTAAGCTAGTCATTTGGCATTTCCAATGGTGTATTCATCACTATTGTAATTGTTATCTTCTTAATCAGAAAAGTAAATAATTATGCAAGCGGGTAAGATTTTTTTATCTCGCTACTATGCAACAACAGGAGGTTAGCCTAGAAGATTTAATTATGGCAATTTCTAGTGACTAAAAATAATACCAAAGATTGTATTTATTTGATCAGGAAGAAGAGAACTCAGCTATTTAAGATTTTTTTAAATAATAAGATTCCTTTATTCAGATATATAAATTAGAATGCTGGTTTAACAGGCGTATTATTCAACCTCCCATTTTTAAATACATCTCCTTTGCACAAATGTTTTTCTCAAGGTAGTTTCTTAAAGAGTTAGAACAGTGCTAAAGAGTACTAAGGTTACCAACTGAACTGGAACCATAAAGCTGCTTTTCAGACATTAATGGGGGTTTGTTTAGCTTAACTTGTTATTTATATTTCCTTTAAGATAAGGGAGCTTGCTGCATGATGAACCCTGCCCAGAAATTTATCCCACTGTTCAGTGAAGCCAAGCCTCTCCAAGATTCTGCTGACTCTGTCATTTCTTAACCTCCCCATCCGCCTTCTATTTTCATGCCCTCATCTGATGGCAACAACCAGGAAACAAAGAGTGCAATTGTGCCGTGAACCCTAATGAAGTCTTATCCTAATTTTTCCGAAGATCCTTTTCCCCGTATTACTTTACTCATCTCTTCTGTTTCTTCCCAGTATCTGAAAACCTGAACTTTTTCTTCTGATTGGAATTTGATTTTAATGCCATTTTCAACTAGCCATGCGGTGGCACCACACTGAACAGCAAGCATATGGCTATTACAGGGTATTCAAAACAAACAGGTATTGTGTGTACACCAAGCCCCGTCACTCCACTCCCCAGCTAAAGGCATTTTACCAATCCACCCAAAGTCGAGGCAACTAAAAACCCAAAAGAGCAATAAAAAGAAAAGTAAATGCCACTGTGATGCTCTAACCGGAATATAAGATTATTAACTAGCCAGAGCATTTATTTGAGCTAGAGGACATTTGATGGTTTTCTCATTGCTGCATAGGCAATTACACACACACACACACAAAACCCCACTTACATTAATCATGGCATTGGAAGTGATGCGGAAGAGCGTGGCACGTTCGTTGATTTGTTTGATCTTCTCATTGCTCTCAGCAGGTAACTTCAGAGTCTCCAGTTCACTGAGCGAGCGCTGAAGAGCTGTTCCATGTTTGGCAATCAGATCGTTACATGTGCTGAGATCCTCCACCTTGCTGGAGAGGGTGCGCAAAGTATTCTGTAGTTCTGTCTTGTCAGTTTGGGATACAGATTCTTCATCACCTGACTCATCTGTGAGGAATAAGCTGGAAATGTAGTACCACAGGAGCCTATTTCTAAACCAGACACATCTGCACATCTGGCCACTGCCTTTACAAGAACATGTGGAGGTGGTCACATAAGAAAAGGGGACAAACACTCCAACCACCTCTGTACAGATACTTAATATGAGAGGGAAAAATATACCTTTCCCACGTAAGCAAAATAATGTCTATACCCTCAATAAACAAGCAAAGCAATTCTCGGCACGAATGATAAAAATAAGAAGCAATGACAGACCAGAAAAACAATAACACAAAGGTAGCAACCATAAAGACAAAAGTGTTCAAAAAGCAGAGGATCAGGAAGCTCTACGCTGCAAAGGGGACAAGGAACCTCGATTATAGAAACACCTTTGAATGTCAAATTCTGGACATAAAGTATGTTCCTTCTGTGCGCTAGTTAGGACTTCAAGAGTATATGGCCAGAGTCTGTTCGAAGACAGAAGGGTGGATTAGTTGGACCTTTGATTGTTTTTCTTAAGCTCTTCTTTAAAAAGCAAACACACCCCAGATCTTTTTTTTTAAAAAAGTTGCATCACTCTTTTTCATCCTTCTCCACAAACAGTGAGTCACAAACCAGAATGACAGTGAACTGTGAGCACAAATATTTAAAAGTAAAACACAGACACAGCATGAAAATCAATAGTACAGTACTGTGTTTGGCAAGATTTCAAATACTGTATATTACTCTCTAACCCAAGGTAATGGTCAGAAGAATTTGCTAGGTCGAGGAATTCCGGCTTGCAATCTACTACATTTTTAAATTAAGTACAATAATCTGTACAATTAATGGTCCTATTATTGCCTTTACCTTAGACTACATGGAAAAATAAATAGTGGACTGAAAATTCAACAGAATTTTAAAGTAAAGCTAACATTGGCAACCTTCAAAGCGAACTGAAAAGATATTACTAGGCAGATGGCATTTTGCTTTGAAAGCACTGAAAATGTTGTTCTAGAAAAATCTGCCAAATACCTTGTTAGCTTTCAGAGCCAAGTTTTTAATACTCCATGAAAATGGGGGGGGGGGACACCATACAGGAGCTAGTGGCACATTTTTTCATGTGTTTTCCCTTTCACTAACAGTAATTAAGTACAAAATTACAAAACTAAAGGCAAGTCAGCAAAGAATGCACCCAGCACATACCAAGAAAGGAATAAAAGTATTTTCGGAAATAGCAACATTTATATCTAGCATAATCATATAAGAAACTGAGGGTCTAAACCACAACTTCTTAATCACAAAGTTTTCTTCTATACTGGAGTAACCATTTGATACTGACGTTTGGGTATTTTACCTAATCAGGTATAAAGGATTCAAGGCATTACATGAACCAAAGAGTCAATTCAATGGTATCCATAGAAAATAAGTCTAACTGGTCCTGGGAAATCTTATGCTTAAAAATAGAAACCTCAATTTTGAGAAGTATAATTTTATATTCATAATAATTCAATGTGGCCAATGGCCTCAGTATGCCCTACACACAATCCAGAGGGCATCGAGCAATTTAACTGAATGATAAACATTTGGTGTTTGGTAGAAATTCTTGCTTCAGGGAGCTGCAAGCCTGAACAGGACAAATTGGAATAACATTCATAATTCATAGCTGAGAATAAAATGGGAGATACTATCTACAAATATTTTAATTCTTGGTCACATATAGACACTATATACATGACAGCCATATACAAGGTATACATGATATATTTATCTATGCATCCAACTACCCATCCTTGAAACCATAGGAGAGATTAGATATTAAAAATAATGGAGTAGGATGAAAAGGGTTTGATCAATCTCAGTTACTTTCCATTGGCAAGAGTGATAGTTCATGCAAGTTTAGGCCTACTCATTGCCCTGTTTTTCACATTACTTCTCTTGCATGTTTCCTCCACAATAAGCCTTTTAATATTCCTGCCCCTCCTCCGCATCCTGCTCTATTTCTGTTGCTCTTAACTTGTCTTTTACCTGATTCTGCCAGCATTTTAACTGCTTTTGCTTTGGCCAGCTCCAGAGCTGTGACCCAGCGCTGCCGCTCAACCTCTGAGCTAGCCTTCAAGTGGTAGGTCTGTGCCCCTCCGTTGGAAATAATGAAATTACAGGAGTCCTCCACAGTGATGTTTGCTGTGGCCAAGTTGATGGTTCCACGGCAGGTGTGTCGCATCTCTGCTTTGGATCTGTGGGCAAGGCACATAGAGAGCACAGGAGAATGAAACAGTAAAAGTATCAGCAGTTTAGTCTGAAACCAAAGAGAGAGAGAGGAAAAGCTAGCTTAAGTTTCCTTCTGGGAAAATGTGACCAGCACTTCACATTAACAGCAAGCTAGAAACATCATTAGGCTGTATCTAATTGATGTCACTCAACTAATGGAAGGCTCTGCGATCTGGAAGATATTTCTGCTGACGAGAAAGGTGAGGGAGACAATTTCATGCCCATCCATTCTGTAGTCACAACACATTATCCTCCCCTTCTGTTCTGAAAGTCACCAAATCAACAAGACTAGCTGGGTAGAATGATGGTGAGAGGCTGCAAGACAAGAGGAGATCATGGAAATTCATCTCCCTCCATACTCAATTAATGGATGCTCTCATTGAAAAAGTCACTTCATGGCACCAACAGAACCCCAGTTATTTCATATATATAAAACTTATTTTAGGCTTACTTTATAGGTTTTTTTAAAAAATTCATTTCTATTTCAATTCTGCGATCAATAGGATGCGGTTCTATGGAATGCAGGGGAGGGAGAGATGAGGGGATGAGAGGCTAGGCTACCTGATGCCCTGGGGCAGTAAGTAATCTGCTACTGTTCCCACAAGAAGGAGGAAGTCTAGGGATTTCAGTGATTATAAATTGCGTAAGAATAGCTACCAGGTGTTGTGATGTTCAATAGAACTAAATAAATGAGCTGTCAATAAAAAATGGACTTCTAGTACATAAAGCAATGAGACCAGAGTAGGAGCAGAATCCTAAAGCAGCTTTGCATATGAATAGACACGGTTTAAATTATATGATTAGAAGGAAAGTGGAATTACTTTGAGCTTCCAATTATTAAGCATGATAATGTTAACACCAGCCATATTTCTTTCCCTCCCTATGTACATCTGGCTCTCTGATTTTTTAAGCACTCCTCCAATTAATTATTTGTACAGCAACTGTTTTGTGAAGTTCATCAATACTACTTACATTTTTCAAATGCACAGGTGGGAATAAAATCTGGTTTAAATTTTATGAACATATGGCAGCAACAATTCCAATTTAAAGTAATGTAGACTAGCTATCAAGTGAAATGGAGAACAATTCTCTTTTGTTTCATAGTTTTAAGAAAGGTATTGACTAGTTGTACATTTTGAAATTTTCTCTCTCATGGACAAACATGACTATATTTGTTTAATACATTCCTGGACAGTAATCCTATAGGCAGTAATTATATGATATTAATATGACTTGTATTCACCTAGTTCAAGTATCTCTTACTCAAAAAGAAAAAGGAAAAGAAAACACTCTTCCACAGATATATTTGTCCACAGAAAAACAATGAGTCACATCACACCCTTCCAGACAGTGTGAACTGGTACTGCCTAGAAATAATGTGTTAGTAGGCACTTCATATCTTTGATCATACTAACTACATCCCCAAATTTCAGTAGTGTGCTGCTCAGTACCTCCAAAATTATTCAACCAGAATGAAGGATCTCATCTCGTCTAATGCAGCCTTTCTCAAAATGGTGTTTTCCAGAAATTTTGGCATTCTGATTTCCAAAATTTCTGGCCACACTTTCTCTGGCTATAATCCCTGGCCATTTTGGGAGTTGTAATCCCAACTCACTGGAAGAAAACAAGTTGGGAAAGGTTGGGCTAATTGCACAATCATTACACCTGGTGTAAGTACTGCGGCCAAATAACAGTGGGAATTATGATTTATATAGATTCAAATCCAGAATTATTTACAAGCTACCATTAATAGTTTTCACAAAGTATTAAACTTCCAAGAAAGCCTAAGTGGAGGTGAACACATGCAGGTGCATCATTTTTTTCTACTGAACTGCAGCAAGTTAGGTTATAAATTCAGTACTGAATTTTGTGTGCATACCCACTTTAACATAAACTTTTATGTATAGATTTATTTGTGCTTCCATTTGAGCAGTTCCATCATAAGCATCATTTGTCAAAATGCACAAAATGATGATATTTAGTTAAAACATCTTTGAAGGTCTAGATATGAACTGACTTCAGGGGAAACAAAGGTGGATTTAAGATTCCTTTGCTTTTTGCAGAGGCAATTACCATGGCAGAACAAGGAGCTTGCAAAGGATTAGGGCCTCAAAATTCGTCCCTGGATAAAAGGGAGAAACTGAAAATGCTGATAAGTACTTCATACAGATGCTCCTTGAGACCATAAAACTGCTGTTTCCAGAAGGTTTTAGACCTCGGAGAGCTGGAAGAGACAGCTTTGCACAAGCCTTGGTGCAAAGAGATCATTGGATTTGCCCATAGTCAGCCACTTCTGAAAATGGCTTGTTAACCCTCTTTTAGAAACAAGTTATTTCACATATTAATTTTATTCTAGAAGATATATTAGTCAAAATGGGACTGCAAATGCTATCTTATATTCTTAATTTTAGATTTTTATTCTTGTTTTATTTTTTATTTTTTGTTAAATACATTTAAATAACAATAACGAGAGATGAATACACATTATAACAATCTTTTTACTAGTGGATGAAAGTATATTTTTTTTCCTTTTAGTCCTCTCCCCTTTTTTTGCATACAATATAAAACACTCACAAAAAATGCTCAGGGTCTTTTCTTCTTTCCTAGCACAGAAAATTGTCCCAGGATTCCCTTAAAAAACAAAGCAAGACAAAAAACCCAGCAGATTACATCTCTTCAAATGTTCACTGTGATGCATATCAGCCACAAAACCCAGGAATGAGGAAATTTTAAATATTTCTGGGGGCAGGGGGAGAAGAGTGAGTGGATGGGAATTCCCAGCTCCAGACTAAAGGAAAGAGGGTATGAGTATTTGCTGTGGCATCCAAGGATAATAAGAGTGAAATTGAGACTAAGCATATGTTATCTAAGTGTAATCTCTCGAATGGAAATCAGTAACATATCCTAAGTACAAATACATTTACGTATTGTGTGTGTGTGTAAATATGTGTATATGAACGGATTACCTGATAATTAGATGAAATCCAACACACTAAGGAGGGACTAAGTGTGGGAAAGTCTAGTCAAATATATAATGTGCACCCATCTCTATGTATATACACACACACACTGTTCCCAAGCCTTTGACAAAAGTTCCAGAGCTAATCAGCGTTTCATCAATGAGACCACCATATTTGTGAGCAAGGCTTCATTTGTCAACCATACCACAATTCCTTCCTTCCTTCAATTCTCTCAAAACTGGCTGTAGATGTTGCTGTGCTTCCACCAACCGCACATACCTTTGACGTTCACCCAACTCCTCCCCGCTCCAGCGTAAACAGAGAACAAAGTCCTCTTATATTGACCTGGTACCAGACAGAGCCATCTCTTTTCCACTGAGAAGTTGAGCAACATTGCCTGGAATATGCATAACCTACTTTGAGATGGGACACAGAAACTGCCAACAAGTATCCCTACAAATGCCACTGGCTTTCTACCTCCCCATCCCGAGTCTAGAGAAAGTAACAAGGCAGGCCTCCTTCTCAGCAACTTCAGGCCACCAGAGAAATATGACCTCCGGTTGCCAGCTTTTCTTATCCACCTGAGTCTGGTTACTTTATGAATAATAAAGAGCTTGTAGTCAACAAGCAAGCGATTAAAGGTTAGTACTTTCTAATCATGTTCCTTTCTACAGGAAGTCCTTGACTTACAACCAGTGGCATGGTGACCATTCAAAATTATGACAGACTCCCCCCCTCAAAAAAAAAAATCTTTACGACCTTGATTTTGAAGTTACAATAGCTGCCTACACCCCATGATCAACAGGCTTACTTTTTTACAGTTGTTTGCAGTTGTCCTGCAGTCACGTGACTGCTATTTTCGATGGTTTTTTTAACTAGTTCCCAGGGTTTACTTCTAGTTTCTGGCAAAAAAAAAACCCCACCCATTGGGCATAATGGAGTTACTTAAGAGTCACAGGATTTGTTTCATGATCACCACAAAAATGCCAAAAAAATTGGGTCTGGTCACATGATGTCTCCATTTGTGACTGTAATTCTGGGCTCAGTTATGGTTATAACTGAAGCTATACATAACAGGATTTTACATGAGGATACTAGGAACTTACTGAAAAATAAATCCTGGAAGAAGGTACTCTAATGTTAATTACATACTGCTGCGAAGCTACATGATTATTTTCATGAAATCACCAGACGACCCAATCAGACACACTGGAGTTCAATGATGAAAAAGTAGAACCACTTGCAAGCCTAAATTTGGTTTGGGAACAGAAAGAATCTGCTGAATATCAAAAATACAAGTATAAAGATGTTTGTTTAACCTAAATCTACAATTCCAAATACAACTTAAAACCATTTGTTTAGTGACTATTCAAAATTACAACAGCACCAAAAAAAGTGCTGTTGTAACCATTTTTTATAACTATTTTTCACACAATTGTTGCAGCATCCCTATAGTTAAGGGATCTAAATTTAGGCACTTGGCAACTGGCATGTATTTATCATAGTTGCACTTTCCTGGTCCAATGGTTAAAGCCCCAGGCTAGAAACCAGGAGAGTGAGAGGTCAAGTCCCACTTTAGCCATGAAAGCCAGCTGGGTGACCTTGGGCCAGTCATTCTCTCAGCTGAACCCACCCCACTGGGTTGTTATTGTGTGGAAAAGAGAAGGTGAGTGTGTTGTTTCCTGCCTTGAGTTGTTTGTAAAAATAATAAACATAGGATACAAATTAAATAAAAAGAAATAAATTTGTAACCTTCCCAACTGGCTTCTGACAAGCAAAGACAATGGGGGAAGCCAGATTCACTTAACAATCGTGGACAAAAAGGTTGTAAAACAGAGCACAACTCTGTTAATAACTGTCTCACTTAGCAATGGAAATGTTGGGCTCCATTGTGGTCATAAATTGAAGACTGCCTGTTTCTACCCTAATGACATATTTAAATTTAAAGATTAGGTTTTCCTTTGATGCCTCTCTTCCCATGCAAGATCACTCATGTGAAATCTAACTGCACAAATCTATAAATATTTACTCAGATTTAAATCTCAGAGATTTATGTTGTTTCTCTGCAGATTAATTTAGAAGCATTTCCCACTGAATCCTGTGAATTTATTTACAAATAAGATTGAATATAGCCAGGCTTTATAAATTTTCTAGAATATCCATAACCAGGTTATGCTTATACTCATGGAAATATTTCTACTTGAGATGTATAAGGAATAATATTCCTATTTCATTAGTAGTGTCATAAGCATTTATAACTCAAAACTGAACCTGTTGCACAGCTCAGATAGCTGGAGGCCCTTTAAACAGCACATTAGCTACTGAGCTCAGGAGACCCTTATGTTTTAACATCTCCTGGAAAATGGTACCTTAAATATATTTAGAAGGGCATTTACAATATGCAGCATGGTTAACATACCCTGTATATAACCCCAAGTATTGATCATAAAGTCATAATTGTGTTTTTTTAAAGAAACAATTCAGTTCAATATTCTTATCATATAATGATAAGAATTAACTTATCTGCTTCTATCAAATAGAGTTTTCCTTTAAACCATGCCATTTTTAAAGAGAAAAAATGTTCCAAGACCAATAGTGCCCACCAATTTCACCACCAAAACCCCCTATTATTTTAAAGCACATTTCTATTCTGTTTTCTCAATAAATTTTCAGTTGCCTGGCTTAAGACTATCACACATTAACAGCCCAACAACAGAGTGACAACAAACTCAATGTGTATGAAAGAATAGATGAGGGGCAGATGATTCCATCTCTTCATTTCAGACTGCTTCTGAAGGTTTTCATCTACACTACAAAGCTGCTTTATAAAGTGTTTTTAAAACAGAGTGCTGTGCTTGGCAATAGAGAAAGAATTGCTAGCCACTTGGCAGCTAATAAAAGTACATTATATTATTATTTACAGATCAGTAAATTTATGAGTCTAGTTAGCAGGCTGATGTATTATTTCAAATGTCTTTATGCATTAAACCCCAAATAAAAGTGATGATGTGCAAGACTGGGTTCCAAATGGAACATCACACATAATTCAGTGGAAGAGATACTTCAAGTGGTAGTTACTCTGCATTTTAAGATAGCAACAGGTAGCAACTCTTCTCTTGTATAACAATAAGCCTGCTAGGTAAACTCAGGACAAAAGGGGAAATTAGTCTCCCATTTCAAAGGAAAACAAATTATTTAAACAAACTAGAATAACATTTATCAATACACAAATAAATCCTCTATCTTCAGAAATGCTTTTTATTTATTACAATAATCTTCTGTTTTGCCATTTAGTACAGGAACAAAGCCAAGATCAAAACGCTCCACCAAATCCAATGTCTTTTCCTTGTATTTCTGTAGAGCACAGAATAAGAGAGAGAGAGATTTGAAATTCTCCCTCTATTTTCTGGATTGCTTCCCCTCTAATGGCAGGTCTAAATTTTCCTCTGGAGTGAGAGGATCATGTTTCTTTAGATCCTTATCCTGTCCTGTCCTGCCTCCAGATAGACACATTTCCTTTTGGTGCTTCTGAGATCAAAATGACCTTGAAGAGCAGATTCCTTGAAGCAGAGAGGAGGGATTCAAAGTCAAATTTAGTATTCTGAAATTAGATTCCTCCCACCTCTGACCTGAAGGACTTGGGAGGATACAACTGTCTTTCAAATAGCAGATTATATACTTCATTAAAGTAAATAGTTTAATTTACAGAAAAAACAAACTTATTATATAGTGGCACACAAGATTGGAAAGTGAAAACTGTTGTTCATCTGCAATGATATACATTAATATTTATATAAAACATATAGATGGGTCAGGCAGGGAGGCAACCCAGCACTCTAAATTACCATGGGCTGTTTAGAGAGACAGACAATAAATACTGGTAAGCATTTGCTTAGCAGGAAAAAAAAACACCACTCTGAATGTCCTGAAGATAAATTAAACACAAATATACCAGAGTTTAAAGGAGAAGCAATTCAAATGGGATTGTTTCTAAAAGCAAAATCTAACAGTTTGGGATATTATATTTTTAATCCACTCCTTTTCAAAGAAGTTGAGGGGGGAGTATTCAGAAGCTTATTCTATCCCTGCACCTCAATGGTATGCATGTATGTATTTATTTTCTGTACTGCTCTTCTTCTTGGAGGACCTTATAGCAGTTTATTTCCTCCAAAACCAATAATGTGTGTAAGGGGAGTCTTAAATAAAATTAACAAAAATAACTCCAACAGCGCTCAGAGACAGAAAGTACAAAAATTAAAACAAAGCTCATTTATCAAAAAGGCCACAACAAAAGAACAGACCAACTTATAAGACAATTTGGTCCTCAACTTGTTATCTCATAATGCATGCGTGAACAAGCATGCCTTAATGGGTTTCTAAAGAAGATATAGTATTGTGGAAGTCAGCCAAACTTTCCTTCATTATCTAGGCTGTAGGTAGCGAGAAGCTGCAAATAAACTGGGTTGAAAATGTTTTTGTTTTGCCTGCACAGCCAGTCATCCGTTTCCTTTCCTTTCCATCAGCCTTTGTCCAAAGTACGTTATGCCACATCCACAGCCTCAAAAGAGCTGCAATGTGTGACATGGAGAGTTTGTGAATAACGTTTCTAAGCTACCAAAATGAATTTCTCTCCTAACTTTGACAACACCTATCTCAGAAGAGTTAATTATTCTATTAGCAGCCTGGACACAGTCGCTTAGATTTCTGGAGTGAGGAGAAACCATCTAGCCACATCTAGGCCATAGCTCTGCAAAGAACTATCAATTTGCTTACAGAGGCCATTAAATATGAGTTAACTTTTCCTAACATTAGCTGCAGTGAATAATTTCCAATGTATTTAACTTAAAAAAAAAAAAACCAAAACCTCTCAAAACACTGGTGAGTTGAAGGTACTGTAAATGGGTGGGGGAAACATAAAGAGGGGGAAGGAAAGAAGTGATACAACAAAATCCCCACAACTTTCTCTAACATGTTAAGGGTGGTCCCTCCAAACAACTGGCCAGACTGGATGGGATTTGGGCATCTTGGCGAGGGCGTTCGGCTAAGCCAGTGGTCCCCAATGTAAGGCCCAGGCCCCACAGGGGGGCAATTTTAACCTTGTTTAAACCAAGTTAAGGGCCTTTTAGGCTTCCTCGGCGTGAATAGAGTTCACTTGTTGAGTAAAGTAAGAATTATATGTCACGGGGGGGGGGGGGGGGTGTCAGAATTTTAGAGGTGCTTAGGCGAGGCATGACAACAAAAAGGTTGGGAACCTCTGGGCTAAGCAAACGAGTGGGACCCCCGTGGCTTCCAAGAAGTCGTTGGACTCCAACTACTAGCAGCCCCAACTAGCTGGTGTCCGACAGAGAGGTGCCAGATGTTGGCTTCCAATTGCGGCTGGAAGAGCACAGCTGCCCACCCCCTACCCCTGCTCCGCCCCGGACACTCCTCGGGGCTGCAGCTAGTGCTGGATACCCTCCTGCCACGTGGCAGGAAAACGCAGGGCGCTGGCGAGCCTGCCTGCGGGGCGGAGGCGGCAGAAGGGCAAGAGGGGAGAAAGGCTCGGACAGCCCTCACGAGGGAAAGCGGGGCAGAAGAGCCAGGCTCTGCGGGCGGAAGAGGACTCGGCCTCACCTGTAGTAGCTGAGAAGCCCATTGCTCAGAACGAACCATCGCCGCTGATACCCTTTGATGTAATTGGTCCATTTGAAAAGCCAGCCTTCCCGAGCTGCCCCGGAAGTTGAGCTCGTTGACCCGGAAGCGGAAGAAGAGCTCCCCCCTGGAGCGTTCGTCACCCCCCCAGGGGCCGGTCCCCCAGGGCCCAGTGTCCCTCCTCCGGCGTCACCTTTTCCGGCACTTGGCCCCGGCGATGGCAGCGGGGTCACGGGGCCAGGTCCGCAGGTTCCTCCTGGGCCGGTGGTTATGGGGGTCCCTGGTCCGCCAGGCGTCATCCCTGGGCCGGGTCCCGCTGTTCGCAATTCCGACATCGCACAGCCGCAGAACCGCCGCCTTCGCAAGCCCGAGCTTCAGCGCTGTCTGCTAACGGGAGCCGAGGAAGCGCCGGAGGCTGAGCGCCTCCCTCCCTCCCTCTCTCGTTCCTTCGCCCTCCACCCCCACCGCGCCACCAATGGAACGGCTACCAGCCCTCACAAGCCCGCCCTATTCTCAGAGTCATCCACTCCAGCAGCTGGAACCCCGATTGGTACTGCCTCTGGCGACTGCTATTGGTTTGCCCAAGTCGGAGGGGCGGGACTCCCTCGGTAAAGTGATCAGTTCATGCGCTCTCTCAGTTGTCCTGTTCGCTTTATTAATCGTCGGTCTTATTGGCCGCCGCCTCTGTCGTCTTTCTCTTAGGAACCAGTAGGAAGTTTGGAGGAGGGGTCTGCCATGATGTAATTGTAGAACCGGAACTCCTGGTTGGGGAGATATGCCTGGTATTTTGGCTTTCCGCAAAAATGGGAGTTTATGGAAAAGACGAAGAGAAGCTCCACATTCAGGGGGCCACCGATCTGCCTATGACTGACGAGAGGCGACGCTTGCTCCATTCCGGGAAAGTGCCATCGTCTCGCAGAGGCATCTTTAAAATTCTGGCCGCAGCCTTCAGCAAGCCCTCCCGATTTTAACATTTACTTCACGTTTTAAGTTCCGTTCTTTTCGCTTCGTTCACGACTGTTGAAGACTTAACGGGCAAAGCTTCGCCCCTTTGCTGAACTGGTGTCAAACGCGGTCGTTGACGGCAAGCGGAGACTTGGATTTCAAAAGGGAAATTAAAATATATTTATAATATATATAATCCGCGGCTCCCCAAATCTCTGTTTACACACCCCCAAATCGAAATAGATCTCCTTCGTTTCGGTTACAGCAGGGCAGTTGAGCTCCGCATTAAAAAAAATGGAAAGCCTATAAGTATCGCGCGGAGAGGCTTGGATGTAAATATAGAGACCACTGTGCACTTCGCCGATGAACGGAGACGGTGGACGTCATCTGCTCTAATCTCCGCGTGTAATTTTTTTTTCCTGTTGTGTGAATCTCTCTTCTTTTCAGAGAGAAAAAGAACCGCTATTGGGCATTTGGAAACTTTGCCTCTAAAACCTCCATGCTGGAAAGGCGTTGGAGTAAGAGCTGGACTTGTGTTCAAAAATAAGTCCAGCTGACAGATCACACAGAGAAAGTGGATGGAAATAGGGGAGGGGGGGCAGCAGGAGGGGACTCCCAGATCCTTATCAGGTCCTCCTTCATGCCACAGTCCTTGCTTTTGCCTTGGGATTTATCAGCTAGTTGGCAATACTTGGGTTTCCCAAACACGTCAATGGGTCCATGGGTATTTCTTGGCAAGGTTGCATAAACATCATTACAGTATTCTAAATATATCCAGCTGCCTTGTTTAAATGCGATCTTCAAGTAGCCAGTCTCACTGGCTTTCTTCACTTACGTGAAGGGGAAGGCAATTCTGGGAATGGCCATATTTGTGACATGAAAGTGGTAGTGCAGTACTGCCAACAAGGTGGCATGCATTCGTTTCACAACATAAAGACATTGTGAACTATTTTTACAGGGCAGCCTTACCCCATTTATTATATAATAGGTGGGCAGGGGGGGGGGGAGAATCCTCTTCCACTTTTCCAGGTGGAAAAGTGTATTATCATGGGTGGGCCCCACCACCAGCGCTTGCCAGCTAGTTTGAAAAATTGCTAATAGGCCTGTTGGGGGGGGAAAGAGAGTCCAGCCTAAGAGAAGGAATGTCTTTGTCCCAAAAGCAGAATATCCCTAGAAAGCAAAGCATAATAACCAGAGAAGAGGAAGTATATCCACAAGAGCCTAACGTGACAATTAGCAATTGGGCAGATCCAAATGTCTGTTTGTATTATTATATCTATAACTAAAAACTCTCTTAGAAGATCAAGAATACCTTATGATGGCTTTATTATTTATTTACAATATTAATCCAATTTATTTGACTGCCCATCTCCCAAAAAATGATTAGTAGATTACAATACTCAGATAAAAATAAATATCGCCGTCATCATTTTACTAGCATTATTCCTTTAGGTGCAGGGTCCGTTTTTCAGATCAATGAATGCCACCTTGCATGATCAAATGCAGATTTATTTCTGCATTTTGGCCGAGATGGTTGTAGATCCATTGGTTGCGACAACAAAGTAACCAATTAGCTTGTCACCTGGGCCTGAAGTCAGTTTGGTCTCTGTGCAGCTCAAGGCTGCCCTGGCAAGTGGGCAGCATCCAGTGGTACCACTAGAAAGAGCAGACCCCACCTCCATTCAAATAAATGATATTTTAATAGTGGTTTTCCATTTTTATAATGATTATTTTTGTATAAATAAATAATAATTGTAAGATCAGTACTAAAAGAATATTGTCTGTTAATCAAATTTTCATGGCTGCAGTGTGGTCTAGGAATAAGATGAAGCCAATATCAGAGCAGGTCATTTAAATAAAGTGGCATAGCTTCTTGGTGCAGTTTGGAGTGTGTGAGTATGAGACAGAAGTTTATGCAAGAACATTTAATAAAGAACTGTATCAAAGGGACTTTAAAAAAACCATATAAAGTTTGCAGCAGCATCAGCAGCCATGGGTCTGCTGATATTCTCACAATTTTTTGAATGGCTAGTGAGGCAAGAATTAGCGTTGCTCCTTGTTCCTCTATGTGCCCAGATGTTCTTTTCTTTTTCATTTCTATTAATTTGCTTGGGAAAGATATTAAGTGGACTGGCCTACAATTTCCGGGATCTCCCCAGAGTGTCTGTTAAACAATGGTGTCCAGTCCTCTGATATTGATCCTGATTAAATGACAAGTTGTACATTTTTGTGAGGAGGCCAGCACTTTCCTGCTGTAACTTATTAGAGAACTCTTGGGTTGATGCCATCAGAACCCAGTGATTTCTTAGTACAGACTGTCAAGATGTATTAACATAACCTCTCTTGTTCCCTGTACAGTATTTGCTTTCGTTGCTCCAATTTGCTTCCTGAGAAAGTCAATCTAGTTCAGATATCTAACCTACTTCGGTAGTAAAGATACATGGGGAAGATTCAGTTCTCTGCAATGCATGTACTGTATGTTCCCTGAGGATACCTTTCATTACTTTTTTATTTATTGGCCCAGACAACTCACTTACTGCTTTTTCTGCTTCATTTATTTAAATAAGTTGTTTTTATTCCCCACATGTATAGGCATAATATGTTTTATAATATGTATTACTGTACATATAATTAATATTCCGATTATTTTTTTATTTGTTAAAATGATAGAAGGCAAAATAAGATAAGAAACAGATGGAACAAAGGAATAACTACTATAACTTTTTTTAATGTAAGAAAACTTTCTAGTAATTCCATGTCCCTTCCATTTATGTTCCCAATCACTAAACAGAGTTTAAATATTATTTTTATATTCCCTCCCTCCCATCCTGAGAGGTGAAATGCTCTTAGTTCAAGAGAGGATAAAGGTTGTACTCAGGGTCTTTCAATGGACATAGATGGTTCCCAAATCAACTCAGAGCCCTCAACTCCCCATTCTTCAAAATCGCTCTTCTGTTATTTTATCTACACGGTAGTTCCGTGATGGTGAACCTATGGCACGTGTGCCAGAAATGGCACGCAGAGCCATCGCTGTTGCTCTTCCGGGTTCCGGTGTGCTGGCTAGCTGGTCTTCACACATGCGGGAGCATCAGAAACCGAAAGAGCAGCTTCCCAATGCGCATGCGCGCGCTGGGAAGATGATCTTCCAGTTTCCGGAAGTGCCAAAAACACTTGGATGCGCTCCTGTTTGAAAAAAGTTAGCCAACACTGTAATAGTAGGTTTAGTTAAGAAATAAATCAACTATAATGGGTTCCACAATGTAAAAAAAAGGGGTCAGCAGAGCTTTTTAATATTGTCCAGAAAGCAAACAATTTAAGGCGACTTCCTTCAGGAAATCGAAAGCCTGATTGAAAAGGGAAGTAGAGCACAAAGAGGCAGAAAAAGAGGAAGGAAGGAAGGCCAATCCATAATTAACGGAAGCATATTTACTAAATTAATCAAACTATGCTTCAATTAATTATGGATTAGTATATTTATTTATTCAATTTATATAGCTGCTGAACTCACATTCATATGGTAAAGCCTAGCTTGGTCTCAGAGAGAGCAACCTAAATCAGTTTAGTCTCTGAAAATCTAGCCAGCTGTAATAAGGATATTTAATATATAATCAGGATGGCTTTCCAGGTCTGTATGATTGTTAGCAGCTTCCTTCTGTTTTTCAGATATATTGCAGCATACGCTTCTGACCACGACCAAATTGGGTTCCAACAAAAAAAAATCACTTTTTTTTTTTGCGGCCAATTTCCCCTTCGGGACCATTTGTTTTTGTAAGTGCTATATTTCCAAAATTTGGTTCAGGTCACGACCAAATTGGGTTGCGGCCAAAGTTATGGAACAAATTATGGTCATGACCAGATGTTCTACTATATATGGTAGCCGCACTGAGGGGAAAAATGAAAGGCAAACATTGGTAGCCTTTTGTCACCTTGCCATTTTCCCCAGTTTCCTTATGTAGGATTTCTTAAACAATTCTTAGGTAATTCAAAGTCTAATCATGGATTCTTAAAATATGAACCATGATCTGATTAACTTAATCCAAAACTCCTTAAAAACTAAGGCTGCAACTATTCGGAAAATTAAAATTATGTAAGGGATAAATTACTTACACAGCACAGCATTTATAAGAATGGTGGTCACTAACTTCAAGATAAACTTCGTAACTCAAAAAAGGGGATAAAATTCCATTGTAATTTTTAAAAAAGGAACAAAAATGTGGGTAAAACTGATGTAAGCAGTTCAGGAGAAAAGTTCCTTTACTTTCTGGTAATTAATTGACATGGTTACTAAGTGAAACATCACATGACTCTGATGGACTTACAATGTCAATTCCCATTTGGTCAATAAGTCATTGTTAAGCAAGATTTCATATGATTGTGATTTGCAGTTTTACTGCTGGCTTCACCATTGACTCTGCTTGTTGGAAGCCAGTTGTGAAGGGTGCAAATGGTGGACCATGGAATGCGGCCATAAATGCATGCTAGAT